CTGCTGGGTGCGACAAGAATCAGGGAATGTCCCCAAGGGCTTATAGCAATAAACAAAAGTTCCATTTCTCATATATTTTCGCCATACTATCTAAACTGAGAGGGCGAGGCCAATGTTGCATTCCATTCTTTCACTGGGAACGAAGTTATTACGTTACTGTATAACATATTTTCAGAGGGGGAGGGTAATGTTAGTTTGATGCGTGTATGGTGCCGGGATCGAATCCATACCGATAGCTACCTAGGCTAATCATGCTTTTCATCTCTGAGGCTCGCTTAGTCGGAACCAGCCTCACAGAGGGGGACAGAATCGTTGGCTTTCACATTGCCTGGCCTCTATATTTCATTGTATAGGCAGAATAGTATTGATGCCGATAAGGTTCTCGAAAAACTTCATTCTTCAACTTCAAAATTACCTTCACCAATACTGCATGCAAGGAGCTTCCGTGAACGCTCCTATTTTCCTTTTTACAGGATCGCGATTACATGTATATGGTGACCGATCTGTTGCTCGGTGGCGATCTGCGATTTCATTTGAATCAACAAGGAAAATTTGCTGAAGATAGGTACGACATGATATGATGAGAACTTATTTGAGATGATAAGGTACACTGCACGTTAGCATTTTGTAGAGGCTGGAAAACGCTGTGCCTATCGCTGCTTTCATACCTTACGACAATATTTGGCGAATGAGCGTCAACGATTCCATAAGCGCTAACTAAGTCTTACTGTCCTTCCCCTGCCATTAAGCTTGCTTATCGCAAAGGACTGGTATAATGCGACAGCAACAAGCGCTAAAGAAGTCCGTGAAGCAAAGCTTTGTAGAGATTATTTGAGGCACACGCGGGAGCCACTTGCCCATTATGCCGTCAGAGCAGCAGTCACCTGCAGTGCAGCAGCACAGACACTACCAGTTCATTTTTATGGCCTTTTTTACAAAATTGATGGTCAAAGCTATCTGGGTGCCACGCTTGCTTGAAATACCACGCGTCGGCTATCCGCTTAACAGATTACTTCATTTCTGGGTCCGTCATGAATTTTCGAACACCGAAAAGTGGATGGACATCTAGACAGGTCTGAAAACGGCATGATTCAGAAAAAAAAAGCTAAAAAAAAAGCTAGGATCTGAGCCCCTTGGTTTGAACCTTGTTAAAAGTTTGATTTCAGATCCAAATTGTATATGTGCGAAATATCGCTTGCTATTGAATACTTGCATGGTAGGGGAATCATTCATCGTGATATAAAGCCGGAGAATATTCTGCTGGACGAGCAAGGTGAGTCGTTTGGACGTTCTCATATGCTTTTTATGAGCAGTTCGACCACAGAATGCATTACACTGGGAAACTCTATGGACATGTGCAAGGGCATGTCTGGGAATCAACGACTGAGGGTATCATAGACATCTGGGTTCTCAGGGAAGGGATACGGAAGAAGTTGAGGGGTTGTTCGCTTTTGATCCATGTGGTTATTTGGAACCGTAAGATACGAATGTGAGCAAGTCATCTATAAGGACACTTTTTTCTACATCAGCAGTGGGGCAGACTATGAATGAACCTCAGCGTTCACTGAT